TTGCACTCACATACTCCTTTTCAGTTTATTTTATATCCTGGAGACCTTTCCCAACTCTCTGCCAAGGCCCATGTGACCAGCAGTACCCTTCAAATTGGTCGTTCTTCCCTCTCTTCTGAGTAATACTAGGTAAACCACATTAGTAAGTGCTAGTGCACTTCCATGATTCTCTCTTGAAACTTGTTTCGTTTTAGGTCTTTACTCTACCCATCTTGTTATCGTCAAGTCATAGTGCCTGCAGTACCTCCCTTCAGGGTGTTACACTGTCTGTTGGGAATGCAGAGTGGCAAACATGACCTGAAAATGTGGACTCTGGCGGAAGTGCTTATTTAGAAGCAGCAGGCCAGCGGATGAGGATCAGACACAAAATAAATTGATACTGTCCCAGGCTGGTTGGTAACTGCTAAGGCCAGCTCGTGCACTGCACAGTGTGTGAGGCTGTTTGGAAGTTACTGGCCCCGTACTGGAAGTGAGCAGCCCTTGACTCTGCATTTCAAATTAGTCATATGCAAAAAAAACCATCAGTTTTTGAAATGCTGTCTCTTTGTAGTCCCACAATTCTCAACTGTGTGAATTAAAACAAAGTTCAATGTCAGAGTGTGTAGTCCGCTAAGATTTTAAAATCTACTCTAATAGAAATGGACAAGCTAATGGAAGCTAGCGAAAGTAAAACAAGGGTAATAAAGAGCAAAGGGGGTCAGCAGGGTGGCCCAGTGGGTAAAGGCACTGCCAAGCCTGGCAACCTAAATTCAGTCTTTGAAACCCACATGGTAGAAGAACTCCAGCAAGTTGTCAGTTAACCTCCATGCACATCCTGTGCCCCCTCCCTCCAAATAAATAAAAATACATTGAAAACTATTTTCATTTCTACCAACTTTGGAAAATAATATACAGAAGCTTTATTTAAAAAAAATAATAGCACAATGAATCCTAGGACTCCTTTTAATTAGATTACCAAGTACAAATGCATACATGTATGAACACAGGCATGAGTTGTGTGTGTGTGTGTATACGTACACATGCATGTGGAGCTGGAGGTTGATGCTGGGTGGATTTCACAGCTGCTGTCTACCTTATTTTTTGAGGCAGGGTATCTCACTGACCCTGGAGCTCACACTGACCAGTAAGTTCCAGGGACCTGACTACCTGTCTCCACACCCCAGTGCTGAGGTTACAAATGTGTGGGACCACACCTGTTTTTACACTGCTGCTGGGAATCCAAACTCAGGTCCTCATGCTTGCATGGCAAGTATTTCACCAACAGAGTCATCTCCCCAGTTCCTGTTCTTGTTTTCTAGACGGGGTCTCCCTGTGTGGTTCAGATTGGCTTTGAACTCAGTCCTTCTGCTTCAACTTCCCAAGTGCTGAATTACAGGCGTGCACCACCATGCCCAACTTAAGAATTTATTTTTTGCTCAATCATTTGAAGGTTTTGTGATTGGGTTGGTGTCCCAGTACCACCACTGGAAACCTTGCTTCTTTACAGAAGATGGCTGGCTCAGGCTCTGAATTCTCCATTGCTAGGAGTCCTCACTAGGGTCACTTTGGTAGAATCCTGAAAACTGATGCTGAGCTAGGTTTCCACATCACTACCCTGCAGATGTCCTCTAATTCTAGTCTGCTCCCCCAGTACTCTCTCCATCCCACCCCCCACCTCACCCTCCTCTTCTCATTCCCACCCAACCCCAGTCCATCCACAAAATCTGTTCTATTTCCCCTTCCCAGGGGGATCTCCTGAGCCCTCCTTGTTACATAGTTTGTCTAGGTCTGTGGATTGTAGCATGGTTATCTTGTACTTTACAGCTAATGTCCACTTGTGAGTGAGTACCTCCTGTGTTTGGGTGTGGGTTACCTCACTCGGGATGACTTTTTCTAGTCCCATCCATTTGCCAGCAAATTTCATGATGTCATTGTTTTTAACAGCTGAGTAATACTCCATTGGGTAGATGTACCACCTTTCCTTTATCCAGTCTTCGGTTGAGGGACATCTAGGTTGTTTCCAGTTTCTGGCTACTATGGATAAAGCTCTATGACCATGGTTGAGCAAGTGTCCTTGTGATAGGATGGAGCACCCTTTGGGTGTATCCCCAAGAGTGGCATTGCTGGGTCTTGAGGTAGATGGATGGGATTACAGATAGAGAGACAGCACATACCTTGTGTTTCTGCTGTGAAGGTGTTCTGATACAGTAAAAGCAGAACTCAACAGCCTCCTAGAGATGAAGGCAAATGCTGGCCTCTTTCCAAATGCCCTTTTTGGTATTTATAATGACACCTTCATGGGTGTCTTAGTGAGCATCCTGTTTGGGTTGTGTTTAGCAAGCAGGAGCTCACCAGACCTCAGAACACTGTCTTCCGTCTCAGTCAGAGAAACAGTGCATTCCGGGCTAGCAAATCAGTGAGACAGTAGCCATTTCTTTACATGAGACTGTGAGCCTGGTCTTAGGGTAGTGAGAGCTGCTGAAGGAACAGTTTGCAATTACCCTTGGACTGGGTGTAGCTTAGTGGTAAAGTGCTTGTGTCTCATCTGCAAAGCCGTGGCTTCTAGCCCAAGCACCACAAAATTTATAGTTTTTTTTTCCCCCTGTAGGAAGAAACCACGCTCTGTTCTAACCATCTCCCAAAGCCCAGGGCTCGGGTGCCACTAATATCGGGTTCTGTCCAGTCCCGTGCCGCTCACCTGAAGCCAAGTTTCTGTCTTCACTTCTATGGGCCTGAGGGGCTTGTGGTCTGCAGCACTTGGACAAAATCAGAACTGGGAGCCACTGCTTACATTTTCTCTTGAAATCTTTCCTACCCTAGGAAGCGGGGAGTTACTCATTAGCAGATCCGAAACAAAACAAAGCTTTCGCTCTTTGCTCCAGCTGATGCCTGCATTCCACTCCTCTGGGCCTGTCGAAACTTCTTTAGCCAGATAGGCTCTGAAGCAGGGTCTAATCCAGAAGGGAATATATTGATATCTGGTCATCCAGCCCCTTTTTCTTTAAAGCGGAGCATCGATTTTTATGCCATTTAATTTCCCAGTGGGGCAAAAATGGAATTGAAAGAAAGAACCGCTGGAGTAGCTGCGAGTGCGGGGCGGCTTACAGCATCCCCGGCTATCTGCCACCGGGCTGGTAGTTTCCAAGCAGAAAATAAACTTTGGACTAGAACTGCCATGTGTGTGTGTGTGTGGGGGGGGGATTATTGCAAGGGTTAGAGCGAGAAAGACTAGGGAGGAGGTTGGGGGTACTGGAGGTGCTGCAAGTGAGCCATTAGGGTTTTTTCTCCTTAGTTCTCACCTGAAATCAGATCCACTTTTCATTCCAAAGGGGGCAGGTCATTTCCACAAAGCTCTCAGCTGGCACGGTGATTTTTTTTTTCTTTCTCTCATTTCATGAATGCTACAATTTAAGCAATAATCTAGAAGAACAACACTTTTGATTGACAGAGAAATTGTAGTTCAGGAAAGTGTCCACTGAGCCCAGAAATGTATTGACAGCTAGTCAGGGAAGGGGTGCCTATTGATAGATCTGGAGGCAGTTGCTAACCTTGAACTCTGTTGAGTTAAGTGGCTTATTTCTTCTTCCGGTTGAAAGGCACGTGCCTTGTGATGTCTCTGACGGCGGAATCGATACCATGAAATGGCCTTTTCTTTCATCCTTCGTGTTTGCTACAGCAGGATGCTTCAGGCAGGGTGCTCCAGGCAGATGCTGTGGGCAGGATACTGCAGGCAGGATGCCCAGAAAGCATGCTGAGCCCGGGAGCACATTGTTTCAGCCTTCGTGTTTGTTACAGCAGGGTGCTGTGGGCAGGATGCCAAGATCTAAGCGTTGTCCTTCCAGTGAGCACAGAATACTTTGTTACATGTGCTAGAAGCTACTGCTACTGGCAGTGTGCAGTAGCAGTACAAAACAAAACAAAACCGATTTACTGTAATACATTAGGGGTTTATTCCCCCCCCCCCCCATCTCTGTAACCCGACCTGGAACTATCTCTGTAGACAAGACTAAGGAGTGCTGGGATTAAGGGTGTGTGGCACCACCACCCAGCCTGGGATTGATTATTTTAAAATCCGTTTTGTTTGTTTTGTTTTGTTGCGACCCAGGCTGCCCTCAAACTTGTACATAACCTGTGCTTGAGTCTCGGATCCTTCTGCCGCCAGAAATGCTGGGGTTATAGGTGTTTATCACCGTTCCCAGTTTATGTGTGCTGGGAAAGAACCTAGGGGTTTGTGCAGCTAGGAAACCAGCAGTTCAGCCCTGAGTGTTCTTTTGATTGCCTTATGGTATGCCTTGTAATTTTTATTTCATTTTGTATATTTGGTTTGTTGTTGTTGTTTGGCTGATTGATTGGTTGATTGGATTTAGGATATTTTGCTGTTTTAATTTTTTCCCACTTTAAGTTAAATTTGCTCTTTGGCAGTTTCCCGTGTTGTGCATCCTGTGCACACAGAGTGCACACTGACCACTCTCAGCCCCAAGTCTGTCCCATCTCACTGTTACCCACAATCTCTTTGTCACATTCATGTATGTCTATTGTTTTCTTGTGTGATTCACTGAGTCTAACCAGGGCCATGGATTTGGAGGATTTTTTTTTTTAAAGATAGTGCGTGCAGTTTAGCCCTGAGTATTCTTTTGTTTGCCTTATGGTATGCCTTGTAATTTTTATTTCATTTTGTATACTTGGTTTGTTGTTGTTGTTGTTGTTTGGTTGGTTGATTGGATTTGGGATACATGCAAGAGTGGGCATACCACTGAGCATACTCAGTTTAAGGTCAGAGATCACATGTTTAAAGGGACAGGGGGCTGGAGAAGTAGCTTAGCAATTAGGAGTACTGAGTATTATTCCCAGAAGACACATGGTGGCTCACAACCATCTGTAACTCCAGTAATAGGGGATCTAATGCCTTCTCCTGTGCACATGGTGCACAGACATGAATGCAGGTAAACCACCTGCAAACATTAAGGAGAGAGAGAGAGAGAGAGAGAGAAAGAACCATGTAGGTACTGGAAATAGGCTGAGTGCTCATCTTGGCAGCATATATGCTAAAGTTGAAACAATGCAGAAAAAATTAGCATGGCCCCTGTGGAAGGATGGCTTGCAAATCCAAGAGGCGATCTCTATTTTTTAAAAAAGAAAAAAAAATGATGCAAACGTGACCGTGCTTGGCTCAAGGGCAAAAGGTGAAGCTCTTGGATAAGAAGCTTCTGGCTATGGTAGGTTTAGCATTACAGCGAGCCAGACTTCCATTAGTTGGCTAAAATAATTAACCTGTGTTAGGTAGTTAGCTATCAGCTGGAGGAGAGGACGTTATTCTGGAGCCTTCTTTCATAATCAGAGGCTTGTCAAACCGAGAACAGGAGCAGCAGGTCCCTAATTATTGCTCAGAGTCTTAGCTCTGGGCCTGGGAAGAGACAGGGTATCATTAATTGATAGCAATCAAACCTGGTTCCAGGAACCTGAACCCTTATGAGATTAATGTATAGGAAGAGGACTTCCAATAAAGAATGAAAACATACCATTTTCCTTCCTGCAAGAGTCAATCCAAGAAGTCTCTCAGGAAAGCTTAAGAAATAGTATAATACCTGCCTAAAATGTAAATCAGGCTTACGGTCCCTTTGGCTGTTGTACACTCTCACTCCTTGAGAGACCTCCAGGCCACTCTAATGAATTCTACCCATTTTCTCCTCTAATCTCTGTGTCTCATTGGAATTCCTTCCCTGGAGATTGCAGGAGCCGGGAAAGACGGAGGGATTTCAGACTTCAAATGCTAAGAGTTATGTGGTGATCTTGGCTATCGCTTCTAAATTTCCCCAAAGAGTTTTGGTTGAAATGGACAGAACAACTCTGAAAGTGTATCAGTAGACTCTTTAGGGGATGGCGACACTCTTCCCCGTGAGTGGAGGAGTGGGTGCCTCTCATATCAGGTATTGGTTATACTAGTTAATAGGAACTGAGATATGTTGGCATATAGTGTGAGGATTTGTGTTAATATGGCTAGATGGATTACTTGGGATGTATTTATTATTTATGGTAGCGAGTGCCAGAGGCTTTGGATTCTCCAGTGTTCTGGTTTTGTTTCCTCTCTTGACTGTGGTCTCCCTTAAATCACCTCCCCTGAGAGAGCCTTTCCACTCTGTGGAAAGTGGGCGACACTTTCCACTATGGAACTCTATTGGTGTGGTGGGGAGGCATGGGGAATGCAGGTCTATTTATTTGTTTGTTTGTTTTACATACCAACCACAGTTTCCTCCCCCTCCTCTCTTCCTGTTCCCTCCCCCTATCCACTCCTCCTCCATATCCATTCAGAAGGGGTAAGGCCTCCCATGCCAGTCAATGAAGAGGCAGGACCAGGCTCCTCCCCCTTGCATCAAGGCTAGGGAATAAGTTCCAAAGAGCCAGTTCATGCATCAGAGATAGGTCCTGGTCCCATTGCTAGGGGCTCCACAGAAAACCAAGCTACACAACTGTCACCCAGATGCAAAGGGCCTAGGTGGGTCCCATGCCAGCTCCCTAGCTGTCCATCCAGAGCCCGTGAGCTCCCACTAGCTCGGGTCAGCTGTCTCTGTGGTTTTCTAGCACCATGATCTTGCCCCCCCCCCTTTTGCTCATATGATCCCTTCTCCCTCTCTTCACCTGGACTTCTGAACCTCAATCCAGCACTTGGCTGTGGATCTCTGCATCTGCTTCCTTAAGTTACTGGGGGAAGAAGGCTCTATGATGACAATTAGGGTAGTCACCAATCTGATTACAGGGGAAGGCCACTTCAGGCACCATCTCCACTATTGCTAGGAGTCTTACCTGGGGTTATTCTTGTAGGTTTCTGGGAGTTTCCCTGGTATCCTCTATCAAGATATCTCTTTCATTATTCTTCTCCATCCTGCCCCCAACTCAACCATCCTGATCCCTCATGTTCCCCTCTCCTCTATCCCCCTGCCCCCCATTTTACCCAGGACAGCTCATCTGTTTCCTATCCCCAGGGAGATCCATGCATCCCTTTTAGGGCCAGAGAAGCTAGGTAACAAGGAAGGCCCTAAAAGGGATGCAAAAATCTAATAGAAGATCCTGACATAAATCCACACACCTATGAACCCCTGATTTTTGACAAAGAAATTAAATATACAATGAAAAAAGAAAACATCTTCAACAAATGGTGTTGGCATAACTGAATAGAGGCGTATGGAAAAATGCAAATAAATCCATATCTATCACCCTGCACAAAACTCACGTCCAAGTGGATCAAAGACCTCACCATAAATCCAGTTACATTGAAGCTTATAGAAGAGAAAGTGGGAAGTATCTTTGACTGTAATGGCACAGGAGACTACTTCCTGAATATAACACCAGTAGTAGGTAACACTGAGATTGACAATTAATAAATGGGACCTTCTGAAACTAAAAAGCTTTTGTAGGGCAAAGGACATTGTCAATAAGACAAAATGGCAGCCTACCGAATGGGAAAAGATCTACACTGACCCCACATATAGCAGAGGACTGATATCCAATATACATAAAGAACTCAAGAAACTAGATATAAAATACCAAAAAATCCCATTAGACATGGGGTACAGATTTAAACAGAATTCTCAACAAAAGAATTGCAAATGGCCAAAAGACACCTAAGGAATTGCTCAGCATCCTTAGCCATCAGGGAAATGCAAATCAAAATAACTCTGAGATACTGTCTTACACCAGTCATAATGGCTAAGATCAAAACACCAATAACAGCATATGCTGGAAAGGATATAGAGTAAGGGGAACACTCCTCCATTGCTGGTAGGAATGCAAACTTGTACAGTCACTCAGGAAATCAGTATGGCAGTTTCTCAGAAAACTGGGAGTCAATCTACCTCAAGACCAAGCAATACCACTCTTGGGCATATACCCAAAGGATGCTCAATCTTACCACAAGGACATTTGATCAACTATTCATAGCAACATTATTTGTAATAGCCAGAACCTGGAAACAACCTAGATGTCCCTCAACCAAAGAATGGATAAAGAAAATCTCAGGTGTAAAAGAACAATGACATCATGAAATTTGTAGGCAAATGGATGGAACTAGAAAACAACATCCTGAATGAAGTTACCCAGACCCAGAAAGACAAACATAGTATGTACTCACTATAAGTAGATATTAGATGTAAAGCAAAGGATAATACATCTTTTGTATTCTATTAGTGATGCTCACATCTGTAGTTCCTGTTTGCTTCCCAGTTTTTCCTTTTCTAGAATTCCCTCGGTTTGTGTTTTCTTTACTGTTTTTATTTCAGTTTTCAAGACTTGAACCATTTCTAACACCTGTTTAATTTTTTTTCTTGGCTTTCTTTAAGGGATTTATTGATTTTTTCCAATTTTTTGTTTGTCTTTTCCTTGACTTCCTTAAGGGAATTTTAAATTTTCTCTGTAAGTACCTCTATCATCTTCATAAAGTAATTTTAAGTTTGTTTTCTTGTGTTTCAGCTGCCTTGGAATTTTCAGGTCTTGCTCCTGTAAGATCACTGGGTTCTGGTGGTACCATATTGCTCTTTTGGTTGTTGTTGAATGTATTCTTACACAAGTGTTTACTCATCTTTTCTCCCAACTGTTGTGGTCTGCATCTGTGCCTGATGTAGTCTGCTGTTTTCCTAACTGGTGTGGTTTGTGTCTGTGTCTATGTAGTCTGCTGGGGTTGTTAGGGAGGGCTGGCCAGGGGAGAATGTTAAGGTGCGTGGGGTTGGGCGGCAGAGTGGGTCTTGGGGGATCAGAGTCCAATAGGGAATGGGGGTCGGGGGCACAACCTGGAGGTAGGTCTCTCACCTGCTTGCTGACTATTGGGGACTCAGGTCTCTCTGTCTTCTGACTAAATCTCAGGATTCTTAGCCAGTCTGAGTTTATAGCCTCTGCTCTTCATATGTCTTTCTTCTTGGCCAGCTCCTCTGCGCCCCCAACATGAGACAAGAGGGAAGAAGGGGCTGGCATGAGGTGAATTCTCTTCTTCTTGCGTTTAGTACTATCCTTAAGCTAGCAGAAGTCACTCAAGAAAGCTCTGAGTACAGTTCACAGAGATCACTCTCCCTTCCCACTGACATAGCCGGGAAGGCTTTGGCTCTGATGGTTACCTTTAGGAATTGCTAGGGTTCCCAGTGGTGATGCCAGCAAAAGCAAGTAGCTTGCCTAAGACCAAGATTGTGTTCCTTACAGTGACCTACAGGGCTAAGGATCCAGCATTTCTGCTTCTCGTCAGTAGATCTTGTTTATGACTCTAGATCGGTTCATCTCTCAATTGCAGGGAGACCACTTGCCTGGTTATTGGGTCATTTGGCCAACCTCTTCTGGATGGAGTAGGAAGTATGACGTTTGAGCTCTTAGCCTATTGGGACTGAAGCAAGTTTCTCTATATGGTCTTCAATTATATAACGCACCTAACATAAACATGAATATTTGAAAATTACTCAAAATTATTAAGCTTCTTTAATAATTTGGAAATAGTATAAAAAGAGGAAAGCATCCAAACCCCTGTTTGCTTTGTAGCAGGCCTCTCTGTAGTTATAAAGGGTGGTGTGCTCGCGTTAAGCAGTCTGTGACTCTAATGAGTACCGTGGGAGGAAATACAAGTGCTTCTGGCTTTAATAGGTGAAGACAGCCAGCTAGTGTCTTACTACCTCTCTTCCATTTTTCTTTGTCACTTGGCGATCATGGGTCTGGCTCACATTAGTGTTATTTTATTGTGCTTGGTCCTTTCATTAGCTGAATGTTGCAATTAACTACTCCCTTGCCACTTAAGTATTCTTCAAAATACTTGGCATCTGCATAAAAATTCATCATAAGGGTATGTTGTGTTTATTAATTCTCTGTTTGGCTATTTGGCTATGATAATCACCCTATGTACACATTTTTATATGCCTTCAATTTTCTTAGAATTTTCTAGAAACAATTATGAGGTCAAAATTTATTAATACTAAGCATATATTAGTATTCTTATGCTTTTGATGCAGGTCAACTGCTCAGTGTGAGTAAGAGAACTTCACACCTCCAGGGTCTTGCTATAGGTAGCCCAGGTTTGTCTCGAGCTAGCATAGCCTCCTTATTGCTGGAATTACAGGATGAATGAGCACACCACCCTGCTAGGTTTTTCTTGATGGAGAT